GTTGGGACATGGTCTTGAGGTTATGTTAGGAACAGGGTATAATGATGGGTAGGAAGATGTGATATTACTGAGCCAGTAGTTAATAAGTGTGTGTCCAGAGTTAGTAGATTGGCGACGAGCTTTGCCAATAATGATTTGGAAGTTGAATAGAGTAATAAGTTAGGGTTTGGAATGTTTATGAAAGTGACCAGTGATTAGTATCAATATCTTTAAATGCCTTTTTGTAATATGTATTATCATTATTATAATTATAATTACCCCGCACATAATTAATTATCTATTCTTTAAGATTGTTCCAGAAATATCTTTAAGCGTATTATTGACGCTATTTCAGTGATAGTCCGACTGATGCGAAGTAAAGATCTTGATCATATTATTAAGCATTGAGAGTTGTGAAAGGAAATATAAAGAGTTGGAATATGTAGAAGCTTTATCAATAATATAAATTTATAATTTTTATATTTTTAATATTAATGGATTGGATTTAGGCTTTTGTACTACTGGTAGTACATTTGTTAAAGCTTGTATAAAACCTAAAAAAATATGTTTCAAAAAAATTTCTATCTATAAAAATCTGATAATTACTTCAGTACTACCTAAAATAATTTTTTTAATATTAATAATAAAAGAATTTAATTACAAATCACCGGGGCTGATCGTCACCGCCCCTAGATATTTTTAGGGTTAGGGTGCGGGTATTAAGAATTATTTTTTTTTATATAAAATAATATAGAGCTAATACAAGGTTTTGAATTTAGTTTTTGTGAGGTTTTCAGGTGTCCTGAACATTTTACTTAGGATACCCGATCAAGTTTACTTAGTACATTTTTGAGATATAAGCACCCCGGTGATGATCACCGCCGGTTATGGTTAGTAATATTCATAATAAAATTGGGTTTATAATTTATCGCCATAGCGATGTATCGCCAGTCCATGCGGAGTTTGAAATTTTGCTGATTTGTAAGCAAAATTTGAAACCCCATCTATATGAGTTTGAAATTTTGCTTACAAATCATCAAAATTTCAAACTCCGCATAGACTGGCGATACATCGCTATGGCGATAAATTATAAAACCCTAATTTTTATATCGATATAGCCATTATCACAAATTCTGAGATAACCGATCGATAAGTCTGAACCCAGTAACTTATCAATTCGGTTATCGGCAATTTTTCTGTTACCCCAGGATTTATATGATATAGTTGTAAACAGAACTCGACTCAAAACTGTCGGACCGGGTTGACCCGGTCCCCTCCGAGATACTTATTATATTGCCTTTTCTATAAATCACGAAAACTGGAGCTTTTAGAGCTATCAAGTGAACAAATATAAAATACAATTTTTTGTGTTGAAATTGTAAAATGATACGACCACCAAGTTTTTTTTTTTTTACCCCCATCATTGCGAACTTCAGTCAATTAGGTATTTGGACGATAGTAAAGGCGAAGTTGCAGTTCCAAAATTTGTTCTATATACACTTCTAAAAAAATTAATTAAAAGTTGCAGTCGAGCTTTAGAGAAAAGCATTTAAAAATGTCCAGGACTATTTTGAATCTGATAGAGACATGCAATGAAGACGTGTAATTCATCGTCGATGACTATGATTTAATCTAAAATTTTATTAATATCCACCGATAATGATTTAAATAATAATAGTAATAATAATAATAATAATAATAATAATAATAATAATAATAATAATAATAATAATAATAATAATGTTTGATAAAAAAGTTTTATTAGTACCTTTCTTAGGTACAGATCTTTTGCACCAGACAATATGTACTAAAAAAAAATAAAAAAATAAAAAGAAAAGATTATTAAAAACAATTCTCACATCATTACATCTTATTTTCCTAACGAAATACTTATTGTTAAATTACGAAATCGTCACTATACCTTGTGTTTATGAATAATTTATATTAAATTGGCCCAAGGATCCTCAAAAAATGTTTCCTTATAGTATTGTTTCATATCAATCTGAGATATATCAATATTCGAATCGATCTGAGATATATCAACGTTTGAATCGTTCAATCGAAGTTTCTAAATCATAAAAAAATTTATTTTACTTAAAGAAAAAATAGATAGGATAAACATATTAAAGTACCTTCTGTGGTGATCGGTAATAATTATTCATAGATTTATACCCATAACGTGGTGTATTATACCCATGGAATTGACGTTCTTTTTTTCGGTTTCTCTTATACACAACATAATTAGTGTCCATGGTTTTATTAGAAAAGGGAAATTGTAAAAGACCAAGTAAATCTAAACAATTGACGGGATAAGAGCGTAGCAGTCTTTTATGATTGGCTAATTTTTGTAGATCACTTTATGCATAGGAATTTATCCAATCAGATTTTATTATCATATAGCTAATTGCAATTTTTCTTTTATTTTTTATTTATTAAGAATCGAATCGTGAATATTTTGGCCTGGTCCTGAGAAATATCTGAACTATCGATTAGAATCGCATGATTTTGGTACCATTCGAATTGTCTCCTCGTAATGAAAAATTTTTTTTTTGTCAATTTGGTCATTTTCTATTTTTTAATATATAACGATAATTAAATTTGATAAATCGAATTGAATTCAGCAGTTAATATTCACATGATCGATCATTATTACTCCAGTCGGTATAAATAAGAGAAGCAAATACTTATTACATTTCACAACGTAGTTTTTTGAAGCATTATAACTGAAGAACTCCTCAACAATTTATTCAATCGGTTGCTATATCGATATGTATTAAATAAGAAACTTTGAATACATATTTTATCTCTGCAATTATAAAACAAAGGCAGAATAAACAGGCACTTAAACAAATTATAAAGATATCATTTTTTACATGGGGGAGTAAATTCGAGAGAGGAACGAATAAATAAAGTAGTAAAAAGATATTGTTCGCCATTTAAATCATTCAGTGGGACATGACGATGCCCTAAAAGTAATAAAATACATTATTTAGAATTTACTGATTTATAATAAAAAAATAAAAATTAATATTCTCTCACCGAATTGTAAACTGGCTACGGGAATGCAATAAGATGCAATGAAATCATTACCCCTAACGTATTCGTCCCAAACAACGAATCTTTATAAATTCAAATTAACAGTAATAATTTTAATGCTTTTTATTCAACGAATTATAATAAAATTCGATTGATTTTAGATTATTTACCGCAAAAATACCAAACTCATTTCTTCGCAATTCAATGTAAATTTTAAAGTTTCATTCCAAGTAGGGTTAAAGCCATTATCGGAAATGGTACTAGTTCTTTTTTTTACAACCTCGGCACCAGGGATGAGCAATTCTACTTCAACAAATGGATCAACTACCTCACCTTTGAGGGCATCTTTTGGCTTAGGGAGTTGTTGTGCAGAAATTATCTATTTTAATGTATTTAGTCAAAATAAAAAAGTGTCAATTTGTAAGCCAAATAAGGTCGAGATTAATCAAGAAAGCCTAAATTGACATACTTCAATTTCCAAAGTTTGTGTTTGTGGATGTGTATTTATAGATGAAGAAATTTCGGGATGGCGCAATCGTTCTGACTTGAGTACATAACCACACCTACCATTGACAGAAAACATAGCTTGATCGATTTGCATTCCTAGGTCTTGAAATAACCCAATACAATGTTTATATAAATGTCATAAACGAAAAAAAGTCAAAGCCAGAACTAACCAAAAGTCTGCCAATTTAAGGCGACCAATTGGTTCCCAACCATCCATTGATGATGTGGTTCAAAATTTGACGAATTTATCCTAAAACCCGACGGATATATACGTGTTAAATGGCGCGTATTGTGCCGAATAAAAGCGGCTTTGCCGGATTTCAGGAGCCGTGAAGAAACTCTATCGGTTATGGAAGACATATGATAGTACTTCGAATTCTCTATACATTAATAATTTGTGGTTATTAATTGTTGGGAAAATTTAATCCTTAGTTTTATAGGTTTGATAAGCATACCGCGATGGTGCTCGAATCCTTTAAACTTAACAGAAGAACAGTAGAATACCAAGTCTGAAAGAGCTTTTGCAACTCGCACTTTGGTCTTCTTAGGTTTAACTTTTTTTTCTTTTTCCATTAAATAGAAAATAAAATTCTTAATAGTAATAATCTTAATAATAATAATAATAATTAAGCTTTCCTAAAAAAAGACATACCTTTAGATGATTCAACATCTGACTCAGTTTCAGTACTAGATTCAGTGTCGGTAGCCGAGTCGATGTAATCTTCTGATAAATCAGGAGGGAGATTTTTTCCCTGAATATGAAGGTTTAAATTCATATAGATGTATGTTGATAATGTTGATAATGTTGATAACAATGTATTTATAAGAATGATCTACCATTAACAATAAAATGCCTACTTTTATTATTATTTTGTACAATAAACTTGCAGGACTCGGTAATTCTGTTTCGTTTTCCGATAAGAACTTAGTGACAAGATATTCACCCAAAGTGTTGCGTAAAATGGAAGCCATTTGACTTTGTTGCTCAATACAACAATGAACCTCAAATGACAGTATTATTGGATAAGGACTAGTTTTGAATGCGTAGGCACGGATTGCCGAAATAACATCTTGAAACTTGATTTTAGATGCCCTAATTTATATCAAAACTTGTCACTATAATTATAATATAACGAAATGACATGCAGATTAAAAAAAAATTTAATTACAATGTACGACCGTGGGTAACTATGGGACCATCAGATCCATCCCAGCAATCGACTAATGAGAGAAACAAATATGACTTATCAGTAATATATAAGAAGTATGTACTAAAGTTTCTTACAAGTATAAAAAAGTATAATTTATGTATGAGATAAAATTATTTTCATACTTTCAACACAACGACATCCCCTCTGTAAGGCGCGTATGTATCCTTCGATTGAGGATTCACCTGTTAGCTGATGTCCTAAAAGATATCTAAATGATAAAATAAATTCACAAAAATAATTAGTTGATTAATTTGAAGTAAATAATAATCAACCATATTATAACCTACGTATTATGCGAAGAATCGATGAAATAATGACTTAATGGTTGTGACATGTCTTGATAGACTTTGGCGTGCTCTGAAGCAAAAACGGTATTATCGCTGGACATGAGAAAACTGCTAAATCCTTCTAAATTCATCTCTTTAAGGTCTTTATCACAAAACTTATAATATAAATTGTCACATTCTTCTTCTTTCAAAGTGCACTGGCTCATTAAAACAATAATATTAGTCAAAGTAATCTCGATTAGAACGTGCAGCAAATAAATAAATAAATAAATAAATACCTTTTGAATACTAACAAGGAAGTCTTTGAATTCTCGCGGCGTCAAAATATTACCACGCTCTTTTGCCAGAGAGTTAAATAGTTTATCCAGTTCATCCCTTTTCTTAATTAACTTCACAAATCGTTGGAAATCAGCAAAATCAAGCCAACCATCCTTATTTTCATCTGCTTCCTATAATTAATAAAAAAAGTTAATAATGATAATTATTTAATCTAATAATATATGCAACAATACAAACATTAAATTTGTTCCTAAGCTGCGCATTTGACATGTGTATATTCAAACGACGGCATAGCCTTGAGACATCATCAAAGCCTAATCTAGAATCGCCGTCTTTATCAGCCTGCTTCCAATGTTGCTTCAGCCATAAAGAATGCCGTTTTCTCAAATGACCTAACCCTCCAATCACATCTCTTCTATGCAAATATAGTTTTTCCAAATTATCAACCCATTTATTAAATAATTCTAAGGTCGGAGCGACCAAATGAAGAGTTTTATATTTTCCAAAATCAACATAAATTATGGTGAACCATCGGGGCTCAATATCCGCACTAAGCTTGAAATGCTCCCTATAACTTCGTATCGCATCACCAACTCGAAGTTCTTTAATACTTTCAATGTTGACTAATGAGATAGGTAAACACGAGAATTAAAATAAAGATCAAAATACATTGTCAATTAATAAGAAATAGAGGTAATATTTACCTTTTCCAGATTTTTTGGAATCCCATAGAATTCGACCTTGTTCAACGTCGATCCTGAATATTTTTTGTTGTTTCTTTTTTGATGAAACCTTTAGAAGAGCAGTTCCCTCAACAAGACATCCTTCGACGATAATCTCGCTTGTGACTTCGAGAGTAGAGTATGAATTGGAAGAACGTTTTGGTCGACGAATGGTAAAATATTCTTCAGCATTACTATCCTTATTATTAGTTTCAATGTTTCCATTTTGTTGATTCGCTATTTGAAAGGACTGATTATTTGCATAATTCAAAGGGCCTGTAATGACATTACTAGTCACTAAAGAATTTCTAACACTAGGAGGGGAAGGAGGGGAAGGAGGTAATGAAAAAGACGCATTATTGTCTCTAGTTTGATATACACTCGTTTTTTGGGTCGACGTATCTGGAGGGAAAGTTGAATTACGCGTCGAGGTCATGTTTGTCGTCGCCGAGATCCTGTTAAAGAATAGTTTTTTGAAGTACCAATATCGATAGGAGTATTCAGGGGAAACGCGCCATTATTCTGATGCAAAATGGAATCACCGTTCAGATGATGTTTTGAATAATTGGATCACAAGATTTAAATTTATAGATTAATTTCGGTCGAGAGTATCAACTTCAATTTACCTCTCTAAGACTGTAGTTAACGAACAACTAATATAATGTATCACGTGTGTATAGTGTGTATAATAACGTGACTGTGGTATAACGATAATATTCAAAGGGAGAGGGTTCAATTTATTTGGTGACTTAAATACAGTATATTATCGTAATTTATCGTAATTTAATTGTTAATACCGAATGATGAAAATTATTCTTCAGGATTAAATCATGGAACGAAAGTCACCCTTTATATAATATTAAAGTATATCGCTGTGCAAGGTACCCTTCGATCTGTACCCCCCTTGATTTGTTCCGGATATATTTGTTAAAAAAAAAAAAACTAATGATATTGCTTTTCTACTGTATTTTTTTTTTTATTTTTCTTAATAAGTGAGATGTTTATCAAAACACTGAAGAATAGATGGCTTTGCATTATACAAAATATATATCGCCAAAAAAATATCTTGATTGAATATCCCTAAGACCTTGTCTCGTGAAACGAATACCTTACACAGAAAATAAATCTATGTCAATAACCCATTACACATAAATAGAACAATACTTATGCCTAATCGTTATTAAGACTGCAGAATTTGAATATCAAACAACAGAACAACGAAAGAGTTGTTAATCAAGATTCTACTATCACATGATTACTCGCATTGTGCTAAGTTCCTTATTGTTATATATAGATTTATTTACACCATTTACAGCATGCTTCCGTATTATTTAAAACTATTATACGTACGTATATAATATATTTGTTGATTTTATGCATTAAAAAAATCGCACAAACTGCATAATACAGTAATTAATAATGCATAATTGGTTATATTTACTACTAATGCAACAGTGTCGCATAATATTGTGTTAATTTTGATAATTCATAAACTAAAATAATACTGATTAATAGGAATCTTAATACTGTATGTGGAGGGTGGTCAATAGAAACCAAGCAAATTTATTAGATAAGTTTGCTTGGTTTCTATTGACCACCCCCATATGTAGAATAAAATATAAGTGCTATGGCGGCATCCATAATTTACGTTAAACCAGCTGTATTGTATAGAATACAGTATATAGAAACCTTGATACTGTCTGGTATTCTTTTTGTATTAATTAGCTTTAAGATTTTTATAACAATACTGGTTTAACGTAAATTATAGATGCCGCCTATGTAGTAATAAATATTTATAATCGAAAGGTTATTTCAAATATCAAAAAAAACTTTTTTTTTTGTTTTTTGCTTATTTAAATTATTAAATACAAAATTAAAATTAATAAACATATACAGTAGTAATTCTGTACTATATACTATACTGTATATATATATATATTTCGTTATTAAAGAGGACCTCTTTGGCCGAGCAGGGATATTTATCGATTTTTAACGGCTGCCCTACGCGTCAAGTGTAACCCGGATTTGCATGAGGAGAACATCTTCCTGCGTTGCGAATACAAAGTAAAATTTTCAATTATATAATATAGTTGGAAATTTACTTCGTATTCGCAACGCAGGAAGATGCTCCCCTCATGCAAATCCGGGTTACACTTGACGCACCTCATGAGGTAGGGCAGCCGTTAAAAATCGATAAATATCTCTGCTTTAATAAATACTACTCGCTAACCCCAACCTAACTATGAAAAAAAGACCACAAAAAGGCTCTAAAAATTTTTACGATTTTATAATAAAATATAAAAATTTTCAACATAATCCCCTACAATACTGCAATAATAATAAGCATAAAAAATTATTTAACAAATTCAGATAAACTGTGACATGGTTCTTCGTATCCGTTGCAACCAATATTGATGTTGATAAGTATCTTCAACTTTAATTTGAAATTTGTTGCTTTTTTGATCCTCTAATATTTCACTTTCAACCAAATAATCATCAAGAAATAAGAGTTTTTGTTCCAAAAAACTAAAGTATAACCAAAAGCTTATCTCTTTGAAGGTCTACGGAATTATTAACTGATGGGCTTAAAATATCAACTGGCTGATTTTGTTCTAAATCTTCATCCAATAGGAATTGTTTTGAATCTTCAATAAACGGGCGCTGGTCTGAATTTTCAATCAATGGGGTTTGTTCTAAATCTTCGATTCCTTGTAAAAGCATAACCAACTCATCATATTTTTGAGATTCTACCTCCTTATAATTTTGCAAAAGCTCATTCAAAAATTTATCTCTCTTAGAATCAACAAATTGTTTGATGCTTTCATTCATTTTTTTAATGTATCGTTTTTGTATCTTGCTTTCATTCATTTTTTAATGCATAGTTTTTGTTTCTTGAATGGTGAAGCTTTTCCAGCCCCTAAATTTTTAAGTATTTATAAATATAAAATAGTAGAAAATAATATAATGATTGAATTCAAAGTTAATAAAAAATAGAACTACACTGGCAATCATAAATAATGCAACACGTGATAATTTTTATAATAAAACATAGGGGTCCGTATTGTTTCACCGACAATCACTTCATAGACACCACATTTCACAGACAATTATTCATCGACAAGTTCATTT